TTAATGTCACGAGGCAATCGTTCTTCGATTAAACTGACTGTTCCACTATTGGATATTTCAGATTCCATATTGATTCTGGCTAGATCTTGATAGCCTTTCTCAACCGTATTTATAAGCTCTAGAAATGATTGATCATCTCCTTCCTGTAAGTGCTTTATATTCTTAATATCATATACGACAACATCGACTAATTTTGATGGCAGACCATATTTCTCATCTAGTCGCTTCCACATTTTCGTTACATCATCATCTAAGTTGTAGATGGCATCAAATGCTTCACCTTCGAGACATGATTTGAGGACATATGCAACTTTTCCAGATTCCAACTCTGGTAGGATTTGTTTTTCAAAATCTGATCGAAAACGAGGGTAGTCTCGAATATTTCCACTGAATTGGGGTAATTTCATTCTTTCTAGTTTGATTGTGCTTCCTCTCATTGCATTAAATTTGGTATCACTTTTCCGTTGAATAGCGTCGCCGATTTTTTTAGATATTTGCGAATAAATCTTTTGGAGACTCGTGAACCAAGCTATCTCATCACCAGCTGTCTCAGCATCAAGTAGCAGAACATATTCACCATTAACCCTTTTACACTCTTCAAGTTGTCTTTTTAGCTCAGTTCTTGCCGTTTCAAGCATTGATGCTGCCGGATTGGGTTTGTATATCTCTGCAGCTAATGCCTCTTCTAGATTTTCCACCTCTTGTCTAAATGCGATTTCTTCAACTTTGCGGGCTTGTTCAGCTCGAAAAATAGCTTTATCGCCCTCTTTCTTACGAATTTGATCTTCTTTCTCTTTAGAAATTTGTTCTTGTTGCCGTTCGATTTCCCTTTGATCCTCTTCTACGGTCTCAAAGTATGCCAACTTTTGCCGTAGCACGTCATCATAAACTTTATCCATTTCATCAATCCATCCATCCTCTTGCTCAACATCATAAGTCGTCTTCGAATTTTCCAGCGATTCTATATACCCTTCGTGCTTCCGTTGGACGTCATCCCAGAGCTGCTTCAAATCTTTAAATCTACTCTCGATTAATGCAGCCGTATCTTTAGAGTTAATAGAGTCGACTAATTTCTTGACGTTCCGATTAAATACGCGTTTAGCCGAAGTTCGAGCCAATTTAGCCTCTGCTACCTCCAGAACCATGACTGTGCGCCAATTTTTGAACGGAATCACTTGAAATATTTTTCGTCAACTGGAAGCACAGACCGGAAGTCACTCGAAAATTCGCCGGATATCACTCACATGTTTACTAAAATTCCAAGTGTATATAGTTCGTTTAATATATTTCTTTAAAATGGTTTCAAACGTTGTTTACTCACTTTCTTGCTACTTTGATACAAGGACTTTGAATTTCCAGTGTTCGAAATGTTTCGTCAATTTAAATGAGGCACACAATATCGTAAACAGTATCGTAATAAGGTTTCGAACCTACGAACAAAATATGAATTTACATAAATAATTACCCCTAATCCCACATTACAACAGGCCAAATGAGGCATTATTTAACGTACTTACACTATGGGCTCTCATAAGTCCAAGTCATGTATATATGTCTCGCCGGAGACAGCTTCCACAGTTCTCAACGGAGAATAAACCAGTCCAAACAGTTCTCAACGGAGATATAAATTTCAACCTACAAGCTAGCATGCATACCAAAACTAATTAATTATTCTAATGTTTTCTTTTGGCGGGAAAATCTATTCCCAGTCCCAAGTTCGCAATTACAAACTTATCTGATCAAAACAGTAACTAGCCGCGATGTTTTTTCCTCTCAAGAGTAATTGTGAAACTTTTACTATTCTATTATATAGTTCATTAGGATTCATATATCTAAAATAGGGAGCATTTTGTGACGATTCCAACATGTGGTTGAAAAATCCTGGTCTCAAATCGTGATCGTTGAGCGTATAAACACAAAATTGCATTTTCCTCCTAAAATAAAAATCTAATAGACTTTTTATTATTTATTCCCATTCATAGCCCACACAGGCCTACGTTTGGGCATTTATTGAGAATTTTCGATATTTTATATTTTGACCTCCTCCGGTGGATTTTTACAGACATCCGCTCATAAGTGTGCGTGCTGAATTGCATTTTATAGACCTGTCCATGTCCTTGGATTAGACCTGTCCATGTCCTTGGATTATCCGAATCAAAAATTGTTTGAGATTCTGTTAAATGATGTCTTTTAGCAAGCTTCTAACTAGCTAGCGTAATAAAGATCTATCCTGCGCATGCAGGACATTTCGTTAGGTAGATTGTTCCAACTCTGCACGTAGCCTACGTGAGAAGAATGATCGTTGAAAAGTTATAGTTTTATATATCCTTTAGAATGAAAGTAGAGTAGACTAAGGTCGGATGTATTACGTGTTGATCTTGTTGGAATATGTTGAGTTGGCTTTACTTCAGAGTTCATGCATGGTGGTAACATTGTGAACAATTTTGAAGTAATATACAAGATCAAGGAATTCATGCCAGTGAGAGATTGGAAGTAGATGGAGTGAGTTCAAACGTTGTTGATAGGTTATATCAGTCTTGAAAGGTAGGTTGACTTTAGTAGCACGACGCTGGAAACTTTCGACACGTCTGATAAGGTCAATTGATTGTGGGGACCAAACCTGAGTGGCATACCCGAGATGTGGACCAACAATGGCAAGGTATAGAGTACGGCGAACGTTAACGTCATTAATGTCACTAGAGAGCTTATACGTGTATGACGATGGCAACCAGTACAATGAGTCAATGAAAAGAATTAAATAATTAAAAAACTATTAAAGTCCCGGGGGAGTTTTAGACGTAGTCGTCGCTCTGTTTACAACGGTAAATAACAGATTTTCACGTCTTTTATACAACGCCTGCATTTCAAGCCGTAACAAGTGTAACTTAAAATTCGGTTCAGTAGAACTCTTCCCAAACATAAAGCCAATGTTTCCAACTTCTTGTACTGTATTAAATTCATACGAATTATAATATACGACAAGTTTTCTTTACTATCATGTGTTTGAAGGAATTTGTTTGGGCCGTCGTCGTCGTGTTGCCGTCCTACATGCCTAAGCTCCCTACTAACTGAGCGGCGAATACAGCCAAGAGATTTGTTCACTGTTGCTGAGGTTTGTGCAATTACCTTTTTTTGTAGTGTTGGAACGTGACTCGTTACTATTTTTACCTTGGTGGTAACGTTGCTTTGTTTCGATAAAATCCGTCTATTAACAACAAAATATCTATTTCATACTATCTATTTTTTATTTAATTAAATGTTTATTTAGACATGAAATATCAGAATCCTTTAACAGGTTAAAATAAACAAGATTATTTTAATTAGTGACGTCCAATAATCAACTCGTAATTTATTGTTCTGTGTGCACTATCCATTTGAATGTCTTGCCGAACTAAGTCTTGCACGTAGTTTATTCTCATATTTCCTACTGAGGACACCATAATAGTGTCCATAGGACGAATTGCTTGATATTTATTGTTTAGGATGGTTTTTAAACCCTGATTAAGGTACATTAATAATTAATTGAATCGAGTAAAACATCTAAACTATCCTCATCGTTTGCTTTTTATTGTTTTTAAACTTTTTATGCTTTTTTAAGTAGGTATTTCAATATTCCTGCTCCGCCAAGGAATATTGCTGCAACAGCTGGCCATGGGCTATAATGTGAGTTGGATTTATATTTCTCTCCCCAGGATTTATATTTCTCTTCTCCAGATTTATATTTCTCTTCCTCGGATTTATATTTCTCTCCCCAGATTTTAAAACTTTTCTGACTAATCTCTTTTTTGACGTTGCCTGTTGGGAGATCTTTTCCATAGAGATAAACATACTGCTCGGAGAAATTCTTTGGAAGCATTCTGCTTACCTCATCTTTACGTATTGGATAAAGTTTTTCGCTGTTTTTCTTGTGAAATAGTGCGGATTCCACGGGGTCTTGATCCTTTTTGCCATAATGAATATCAACAAAGTTGACAAATAATTCATTTGGATCTAGGCGACCTTCGGATAATAACGCTATTTCTTCTGCAGCTTTCAAACCATCAATCTCTACTTTTTTTGCCGGCTGAAACTGGTCGTAACACTTATACAACTTTCGCCGCTGGACCCTTTCGAGAATATCTTGAGCTTTTTTGGTCTTGTCATCTTTATCACTGCTGCGCAAGATTTCGTAGAATATGCTATCGGTGAGCTTGGAATATTTCTCCATATCAAATATTGCTTCGGAAAACTTGTATTTCCATTCTAACAGAACAAGAGCATCTGTAATCATGTCCTCGATGGCATTAATGGTTTTATGTTGACAAGCGCGATGATGTAATGACCAGCGAGTATGGAAAAGCTCGTACATATTAAACGAAAGCTTGTCACGTGGAGACAGGTGCAACTCATCGTTTTTTCGCAATATTCGGATATTGTGAATATAGCGAAGATGATCGAAATTGCTCTTCATTCCCAGGTTGTGGCAATCGCGGGCAAAATAATCAAACTTATCACAATCAACTTCGTATATTTTATTGGCAACAATTTCGAACAGAAACCATTTCGAGCACGGTTTACCATCTACAGTAGCTGTCTCCGTGATCGTATTATCTGTAGCGCTAGCCGGGTTTTTACCTTTAATGAGATCTTTGATAAGTTTTTGCTTGTTCTCACCAAGATTTCTATTCTCAAAAGCCCGTGCTAGTCCATCGCTGGTCTTCAACATGTAATCAAACATATTACAAGATGCATCTTCATGCTCCCAACCTTCCAGTTTTTTTGCCATGTCACTGTGTTCTGCTAAACTTTTTTCCTTATCCGCATCTTCACATAGTTCATCCGACAATCTCTTTATTTCACTTTGATGGTACCGGATCAATTTCTTTTTCATTCTTGTATCAAACATATGCGAAAATGGACCATGACCCAAGTCCTGTGAAATAAGGAAATACGTCAACAGAACGTGTTTACAGGAAGCAAATCAAATTCCTTCATGGGGATCTTCCGGTATACCAACTACTAATTACCTGTTTCTATCAAAATTACTTGAAAATTATTTGTTTCTACGTGTATTTTTGAAATAAATATATGCATACCAAAATGACATAATGTAGATACGTACATGGCAAAGGGCTGCAATTTTAACACACAAGACGTCCTCATCGGTAATATAATTATCTTTTATGTGAATATCTCTCAATCTTTCAATCATCATCCCAGCCAGGTGCGCAGTGCCAAGAGAGTGTTCAAAACGATTGTGCGCAGCACCAGGGAACACCCAGTATGAAACGCCCATCTGCTTGATGTCTTTCATTCTTTGGAAGCATGGAGTGTGAATGATATCAACCAACAGAGGATCAAATTCCATGTAGCCATGAATTGGATCATTGAATCCTGTCTTATCTTCAGCCATAGTGTAATAGAATACGCTGCTCTAACCTAAAGAAAATAAGAGTATACGCTACTTAATATTTCGCAATCGAAAATTATAACTGGACGGAATTCAAGTCAGAATATGTCGGAAGTGAGGATTGAATCTAATTCCGTGGACTTCCAAGCAGTCCTAATAAACGGATTTAAAATGACATATTATCATACTCATACGTCATAAACTGTATGTGGGGAAATGTGTGGCAGTCCAAGGAAGAAATTAATTTTAATCCAATGCTATAGTACCGAATCAACATTCTTGTCGAGTTCGAACAGATATCTAATATAATCATCGTATACGAAAAAAAGCAATATATTAGGCTAATTTCCTCGTAAACTCACCAATGGTTGGCATATTAACATTTTCCCCGAGCCAATGGCGCTTCCGTTCCGGGCGTAAGCCCAGGGCAAGGGTACTAATTCCGCCAGTCTGGTTACACCCGGGGAAACGAAAGAATTAGCGAAGCTTCTTTCATTTATTATTGGTGATAGTAATTAATTTTTTTATTTTTTATTTGTTTATTTATTAAGATAAACCGACATTGTAGCCGTAGGTTAAATTGCATCGATCTTTACAATATAAAACTACATTTAATTCCACTGCTGGTTTAAAATTTGAAATTGTCAATAAAGAACTTTATAGCCAGCCAATTCACATTGTGATGCATGAAGGTAGGTAGGTATCTCGAATTTCACTCAACAATTTTGTCAAATAGAACGAAAGATTATTGACAAAATACAAAGTTTCACTATGCTTATATTACGTCCAAAATCGAAATGGAAAGAAAACTGAGGTTAATTATGTTTGGTTATCTACAGCCAATAAATATTTTGCCTATATTTTATTTTGTCAAGACGCCGCCGAACAAAAGTAAATGAATTAATTTTAAACATAATTAAATTAAATAAAAAATTGAAGTTTTATAATGTTTGAGCAACACCCAGCCGGAAAAAGTGGAAGGGAAAGATAACTCTCCGTTTAAGGGATTGAATGTCAATTAGGACTTTTAAATTTGTCCTGTTTTCATTCCCTGCCACAAACTATAACTATTCTCTGTAATATGTTTCGTATGTAATCTGTGGTAAATCTATTAAACTAGACTGTCGCATTTAGAATTAACAGGTACCAATAAGTTAAATGCCTAACGTACTGTAGTTTCCATGTTCCTTCAATTTTTCGAATGTGGAATAAATGTATTTCAAAAACTAGTTTTTCAACGAAAACAAATCATGACAACTTACTTGAACATTTCTGAAGTAATTGCACCGTTTGGACGTAAATATTAGGCTGGTACAAAGCTTCAGTCGTTGTTGCGCCTTAATTTTTAAAACCTCGCTTGCAGAATCGCAAATTTGAAAAGTATTTTCGAAATTCGTGGTTACAACATTGAATAGTTGAAGAAATATGTGTTTAGGTACTATTTCTTCACTTAATTCACAGTTTTAACAACTTTTAATCGGCATGTTTCATATATGATCTACTCAAAACAGCTTTCTTGTTTGTGGCAGATAAAAATTTAGTTGGTTAAGAAACTTGATTGACAGGTTGTTTTTGCTTTTTGATATTTTACCCAATGAAATTCAAGAACGCGCGTACGATGACGTCAGTGTCAAGTTGTTCCTAATTTGGTATACAACGTCGTGACCTCTTTCAGGATGTTTGTTTTCAATGCATCGGAAAATCTAAAATTTTTGCCGTTTTTTTTACTTAAGGTTACAGGATACCCTAGACATGCCTTTCGGGAGATCCGCTGTAACTCGATCAATTTTAATCCAAATTTCATCAAATTTTCACCAAATGTAGTTAGATAAATGCAGTATAAGATGTTCTTATCATATGTACGAAAGAATAAATACTTATTCAGACATTTGCCGAAGTCTAAAATCGCGGTACTTCCGCGCCGTGAAGTTTGTTAGACGCCGGTTTTACTCAAATCCTATAAAATATCATTTTTACTCTTCTCAAAGGTTGTTCTAAAAAACGGTGTTCGCGTTTTGTAGTTGCTTTAGGGGTTCATGAGTTACGGCATATTCATTCCAGACCTATGCTATATTGCAACTAATTGACAACAAAAACCTTGTAACTTGCTTATTATTTGAATAAAAGGCTCGCGCGCACACCGTTTTGTAGCCGAAATATGTACCTATGCTGTGTGGAAATTTGAGAGAAATCGGTTAAAACGCACGCTTAAGAAACTTTATTTAGTGCGTATATTCGACTCAAAATTCAAGTGCCTCAAAAAGCGCTTTGAAAATTTCGCGGGTTTTCTTTCAGTGTAATCAGGTACTGCGCCTGATGTGACGTACTGTCATTAAAAGTTAATCCGATGACAGATAACGTTTGCGGCAAGACCACAATATATAATCAAGTCATGCCTGTGGTCATGCCTAAACGAAAAGGAAGACAAACCAACGCGCCACAAAAAAGCGCAGAATCTCAAAAGCGACAAAAATGCAGAACGATAGAGTTCAGCTGATGGCGATGTGGACCACAAAGAAAAACTATAATGGCAACGATGAAAGATAAAGTCTTAAAGGGTAAGGAAACTTAGTTTATCGCATTTTGATCCGACGATATTTTGCTAGTTGAGTTATAGAACTGAGCCATGCATTTGTTCTCTCTCTTCAGTTACGATGGAGCAAACTTTATCAAGAATATGGTGTTGAAAGATTGGCTAAAGAAGCGTAGTAAACCTCCTAGAATTGTACGGTATTTTTTTATTGTGGATTGGGCACACGCGCTGATCGTAAGTTTACAATCAGTTATATACATAATTGCACCTGGTTCGTTGGATTTTTGCACAATTTGCGTTTTTAGTACGCCGCGCATCGTAATGTTTTTGGAAATAAAAGGCTTTATTGTAAAATGTCATTAAATTTTCGTTCATTTATAGAAACAGGGAATCGGTCCCAAGGATGCGGCTTATGGATATCCTGTCGAAGTACTAAATTTCCTGAGCGATATCGCGGTGATGTAAAAGGAGAGATAAGAGAAGTGAGTTTGATATTCTGTACGCAAAGTCAAAGGTCACTATAAAAGCCAGGCAGGGAACGAAAGAGCTAATTCTAATAAAGCTTTTCCAGTTTTCCGGTTAGTCATGCACTTGTGGCTAAATTAGTAAATGTGGCAAAAATGATAAGTCGCCAAATCAGTGTTTTTATTCTACTTCTAGGATGCTTAAAATATTGAGCTGGACATCTTTTGTGAAGCTTTGAAGATCCCGAAGTTGTGTGTAGACTATTATAGTGTTAGTCAAATATGACTATAATAATTAAGTTTAAAAATATATGTTTTAAAAGGCATTGTTATATTATGATAAACATACTCATGTAAATATACTTACATATTATATTCTATAATTATGCTAGTAAATATTAGGCAAACTGTTCTAAATTATGGCCTTTATGGGTATTGATTCATCTCTACAGAATGGTTTTAGGGTCACTTTCTGCCAGTGATTTCTTTCTCTCCTCTGTGAACAAATTGTCGGTCTTGGGTTTGAGTTTCTTCCGACAGCCGCAAAAAGGGGTTTTATTGCTTTTGCCAGAATCAGCTTTTATTCTCGGCATTTTTTCAGCAGAGATTTCAGTGCAACGGAACGTCTGTACATCTATACAACCGCATGTTGTGATAACGGAATACGAGATGACATATACACTAATTGAATTGCACAAGGTGTCGATTTTCTGTCAAACACATTTCCCGCCAAACATATAGACTTCAATTGCGTTTTACTAAATAACCTGTTTAATTTTAAAGATACTGATTTACATTTTTTTCCAGACGACAGGTATGCTCAAAAGCAACAAGAACATGTAAAGAAAAAAAAAATCAAAATTTTTACGTTCTAGGGTATCCTGTAACCTTAAACATTATTTCTTTTTTAAAGAAATATTTTCTTGTTAATAATGCTGTGTGCTATTTTTAGTCCATATAAATATTTACCTTGGGCCGAAATTTCCCTACAATCACCGCTCCCGTTTTTCAGTAGAACGTTAAAAATTCTCGACATCCGCTGATATAATGCAGAGAGAAAACAATAGGTTTGATGAGGGTCAGTAATTATTATCAATAAAATGTTAAAACGGAGCTTTGATTGACTGATTCACCATTTATACTAGCGAACTATTAAACTATCGTGATTTACACCATTTTTGCATATTTACCAGACGATGCCCTATCCACCGACCCGAGGTTAACGCCGAGTCGGCGTCTTGTTTAATTCTACTTCATCATGGTCAGTTCACAAAGAAGTCACGTGAGACTTTAAAGTAAATGTCTCCATGAACAGCTTGACAATATGTCAAAACACAACACAATTTATTTGTTTACATCTTGATAATATAACAACAAATTCTCCAATTAAAATTAGCGGAATGGTCTATTGGTTTATTATAAAACTTTTGGAATGTGGTTTCACTGGACCAATTGGCAGTTTCGTATAGAGGATGCTGCAGATGTAGATGCAGAACTAGTGCTGTGACAGAATATCAATACCAGCTTTTCCCATCACAGTTTTGATCCATCTTGCATAATAGTATCTTTGTTTACTGGCTTATGTGATTTGTTAAAACTAAGCCATAGTTCATTATTCATCTCCCACCACACTTGTTTTAAGCAAATATTGCTTGAGGCATGTCACCACGCACAGAAGCTTGTCAACTGGGTATGGAAATACTAGTGGTTTAATATGCTTTCCAGGCTTGGAAGTCTTTAGAAGAGTATTAATTTCAAATGTAATTTGGTCATCCAATTGTTTCATATCACTGAATGTGCATGAATGCATGTACTGTTTGACATCTCTGGCCAGATAACAAAACTACCAATATGACAGTTTTAAATGATAAGTCTTTAATTAAAGGCCCTGTCACACTATTGCGTATCGTACTAGCGTATGCCAGCGTATGAAAAATATCACTCATACGCCGGTATATGCTGACATACACTAAGAGTACGTTAGGCATAGGTTGTATACGTTTCAA